TGCTCTGGGGCGCACCTCGGCCACGCACCGCTGCGGAGGGCCGGGGGCGGCACGCGGGGACGGGCGGTGCGGGGAGGCCGACCGCGCCCTACAGCCCTTCGTGCGGTCCTCCTCGTAGGGCTGAGTATCCTTTGTCATGGCGGCCTCTCCCCCCCACCCTGAGCTGCACATAACCGTGACTCAGCACCGCCCCGACCCTGGTCGCCCCCGCACGGACCCCACTTCCTGCTGAACCGTTAAGGGCCAAGCTGGCAAAAGCCTCTCCCGGCCTCTGGAGATGCTGCCAGCAGGACCCCCGCGAGGCCTCTGCATCTCTTGGCCGTCTCCGCCACATCCCGCATCTCAAGCCCCCTTCTGCCCATGGAGAAATGAGGAACCGGAGGCCCAACTCATGGTGACCCGTTTTTATTAGTAAGCAAACTAAGTGCCCCCAGGCTCCTGCCAGGCACTCCTGGTGGGAAAATGCCAGAAACACAGTGATCACACTCAACCCAGCTGCCATGGAGGTTCCTTCCTTCTCAGACCACAGAAACAAACCCCATTGTACTGCTTATTTTTAGCTCGACATCACCAAAAAACGGATCAAGTAAGGACAGCCAAGTAGGACACGCAGTTAAATACTACTTCCATACCCCCCAAACTCAGGGACTATCAAGCTCCGGGCTGCTGCAGGGAGCCCCACAAAGCTTGGGGAGGGGGCATTTGCTACACAAAAGCAATGTAAACAGCAAGGGGTGATGTTCGAGAGACGGGAATAAGGAGAAAGGGGGAGGAAGGGTCCCTAGAATTAACGTTCCCTCCCCCTCACAACGACTGAGCCTCGGAGATCTGTCTAATATCTACGCAAAATATATGTACATCTTGTTGGTAGACACGGTGGCGGCGGTGGGGGCAGCCCCAGGGAAGCCCCTCGGGGTGGAAGAGAGGAGGAAGCAAGCCGGGGTGAGGGAGCTTGGGGTTCATGCTATGAGAGGAAAGGGGAGGCAGGCCAGCAGCCCTCCAGTCCAGCGTGACCAGAGGTGGAAAAGTGACAGCCACGGCTCTCGGCCCCCCAGCAACGTGGGGTGGTCACACGATTTGGGTCAGAGAGATAGCAGGGCCCTTGTGGTCGTCGAAGCGGTCCATGGTCTTGAGGCTGAGGATCATGTGCAGGCCGTAGGTGAAGATGAAGAGCATTAAGAGGGAGGTCAGCAGCCCCATCCAGATGCCCGGGGAGAAAAAGCCGGCACAGTCACTGGCGTAGGAGAACTGCTCGCCCGTCACATTGAAGGCCTGGATCTGGGGCCAGACAAGACATAGTCAGGGTGGCCCTCATGGCCCCACACAGTGAGGATGTCCAGCAAGGGCTGGGATCCCCAGGTGGTGGACATTCCGAGTCTCCCAGGGCCAGGGGCACTATGGGAATGGGACTCTCAACTACAGGAGCCCAGACGAGGCCACTGAGACTCTTTAGGCCGCTCTCCCCCTTCTGCAGCCTCTGCTCCCCTCTCCATACCTGGAAGTCCCGAAGTGTCACGTCCCACGCAGAGGGCTGCGTGTGGGGCACGAGGAGATTGCCATTCTTGGTGAGGCTGCTGACGTACTGACAGTGGAAGGAGTAGATGCTGGGCCCAGTCACCTGGGAGGCGTTGAAGTAGGCGACAGAGCCATTGCTGTGGATCTCGAGGCGCTCCATGGTAAACCAGTGCCAGGCAGACACTGGGTAGAAGTGGCTAGCGAAGATGAACCTGGGGACGGGCAGCACGAGTGGTCAGGCGTGTGGGGCAGGCCGCAGCCATGGCCAGCCTGCCCCACCTCGGCAGCCCCAGAACTTACTTGAACGTCACCATGGTACCGAAGAGTTGCTCGTAGGTCAGCGCGAGTCTGGGGGGTCAGAGGAAAAGGCCTTGAGTGCCTTCAAGGACCAAGTTTCTCGGGTCTACTCCTACTTAAGCTGTCCCCAGGTCCTCATGACAACCGAGGAAGTAGTGCTCCCCCTTTACAGATGGGAAAACTGAGGCCCAGAGAGGGAGAATGTTTCCCCCAGTCACATTTCATTTCACCTCAGGAATGAACTAGAAGCCAGGTCTCCCAGCTCCAGCTCAAGGCTCGTTCCTCTGGTTCTCAGAGTCCACTGCCTCTTCTTTCAGTTCCATGTGGGGCTGCGGTGGTGCGTGGGTTGGGTTTTTGGGGGTGAGGGCAAATGGAAGAGTAGCAGTCTCTCTACCCACACAGCAAGGGCACAGGAACCCCAGAGCTGGCTCAGGAAGCTGGCCTAGTATTTGCCCTATGTTCAGTCCAGGAGATTCTGCTCTAGGGGAGGTGCCAAGTTCCCAGGTGACCATGAGGTATCAATAACAAAGGTCCCAACCAAGGCCCAGAAGGCATGGGGGAGACAGAGCTCTGAGCAACTCCCCCTCCCACAGCCCCAGCGCACGAGACTACCCACGTGCCAGTGACCACACCCTACAAGACCATGCCATCCCCACCCCCGACTGCCCCCCGCTGACCCTGACCCACAGGGGCAGGAACAGCACCTCTGTGGCCAAGTTCCTCCCCAGCCCGAGCGTCCTCACCCGGCGGCAGAGCTGTTCCAGAACGAGCCAGTCAGGTTGAGTTCCTGGGCCCCGAAAGTGAGGGAGGTCAGGTCCTCCGTCTGGCCATTGTAAGTCACAGAGAAGTTCTGGGCCCAGAGCAGGATCCGGGGGGCTGTGTCATTGTAGCTCACAGGGGGGTGAGTCACATCTGCCTCTGTCGCTTTTTCTAGCAGCTGCCGACCTAGACCCCCAGACACCATGGCTGCATCCCGGGCCACCTGTGGGGACAGCCAATGAGCCTTCTCACCACCCCACTGGACTCAAGCCCCAAACCAGCTACCCTGCCCTGCCCCCCTCCCCGGAGGGCAATCCTCTTCACCACCTGAACACCCACTGGCCAGACTCAGAGCCCTTCCTCCAAGAAGCCCTCCCCAGCCAGGCCGCAGCCTGTATGGTATTCCTAATTCCTTCATCTCAGGAACCACCTTGACTCATTTTCACATCCACCAAGCCATGAGCTCACGGGGCAAGATTAGCACCTACCGTCTGGAGGAAGCCCGGGTCCTCCACACGGAGCCACCCCATGTCAATGTCCTCAGCCCACAGCGGCCCTGCCTGGGGCCCGCCACCCGTCACCTCCCAGAGCACCCTGCAGGGAAGGGCACGTACCCTGGAAGGGCGGACTGCCGTGAGGGCCGCTGTGTACGGGACATCCTCGGACTTGAGTGTGCTCAGCACCTGCCCAATGACCTCGTCTACGTGGATGGGGAGAGCAAAGAGCTGGGTCACACGCTGATGATGCACAACGGGATCACCTGGCGGAGGTGGGAACTACCACCTGTCCCCACTGGGACGTCCCACCACCGCAAACGGCTCGTCATCTGGGCCGTGGTGCTTTGAAACCCCTTCACCGAACAGCAGCGGTTCCTCATCCCACCCTCCACCCAGCCTCCCCTGGACCCCAGAAGCCTTGGTCATGGATTCCCTAATGACAAGCTGTAACAAGGAGAAACGAGAAAATACACATAGATACGGATATAGGCATACGGGTACAGATAGGGATACACAGGTGTGGGCATGGATATAGAAATACGGACACAGATACAGCAATACGGATAGAAATACGGATAGAAATACACAGAACCGTGGCTATAGCTGTAACTATCTCCACATCCATTCACGTGAGGTTCCCAAGGAGTCCCTGGGTGGTGCAAACGGTTAAGTGCTTGGCTGCTAACCAAAAGGTTGGCAGTAAGAGTCCACCCAGAGGTGCCTCGGAGAAAAGGCCTGGTGATCTCCTTCCAAAAAATCAGCTGCTGAAAACCCTATGGAGCACGGTTCTACTCTGACACGATAGCAACCTCTCCTTCGGCATAACTGTCCTTCGTGGCAAAAAGCCATGTCCCCTAAATTGGATTTTCACATGTTACCAGTCTATTACTGCCAAAAGTCTTGGATTTATTCTGGTAGAGGGAAGCGAGGAGCAGGCAGGGCCTCCCTGGGAGTAAGGAGGAAGCTGAGGCGCTCCTGGGCATCTCTGCCGGCCAGCTCTTTGGGGTCGTGGCACCAGCCGTGTCACACAAGTGGATGGGGATTGGTGGGGGTCAGGTAAGGGTACATGTCCGATGCCACTCACCGTTGCCTGTGAGGACTTCCCGGGGAGCCATCACGCCAGCGCTGTCAGAGAGACGGAGTGTTAGTGCCTTCCTGTAGGCAGCCCCGGCCCTTGAGTGCCAACAGCTGGCCTTTGCACGGTCCCCCTGCCCTGCGCCCAGCCACCCTGCCACCTCCCACCACTCAGCAGCCTCCACTCAAGGCCAAGGCCTCGGAGTACTGGCTCACCGCACCTGCCCACGCTCCCTGCTCATTGGCCCTGCACGCTGCAGCTAGGGAGCCAGGCTCACTGCCCTCCACACACAATCCCCTCACTCCTCTGGCCACACAGGCACCTTCCAGAGGGGCTTCGAGGAGCCAAATGAAAGGACCATCTCCTTTGGTTGCACTGTGCTACCAGAGCCCAGGCCCAGGCCTCAATGGTCTCCGGGCCCAGTGGCTCCCCTGGCGCGGGAGCTGCAGGTTGAGGACAGGGCTGTACCTGGCTGTGTAGGGCAACCGGATGAGCAGCAAGGCCGGGAGGCTGGCATTGAGCTTCAGCTCCCGGAGTGTGGCCAGGTCCACGTGCAGGGGGCTGGCCCCAAGTTTCTCCTGAAGGTAGGTGGTCAGGGTGCTGACGGCATACCAGTCAACCGCAGGGAGCACCAGTGAGGAGGGGGCCAGGGCCAGGGCATTCTGGGGTCGGGGGGAAGGAAGGCAGGGTCAGTGAGGGACTAGTGGCTGGTCGGTGTCCAACCCACCCTGCAGCCCTGCCTGACACTCAGGGCCCAGGTCTTGTGACCGAAGGCACAGTTCTTACTGTGCTGGGGTGGGGAACAGGACGCCTGGATGCCACACACAGGGCTGGGGTGGGGTGCAGGCCACCTGGATGCCACACAGGGCTCTTACCTCCAGGTTCGAGAAGGCGCTGTCCTGCTTGTTGCCAAACACCCCACCGTATGCGGTGAAATCCTCGATGCTCAGCTAGGAGGGAAGCAGGGGGAGAAGGGCTCATGAGACTGGACAAGGTCAAGGGGCCGGGGCCAGGAGCGGGCCCAGCAAGCTGCATTTACAGAAAGACGTGGTCTGGTAGCGAGAACAGCAAGGGGGGAGGGTTCTCTTCCTTCCCTGCGGCGTGCTCAGGGCTCAGGCAGGGTGGGAAGACGGTGGTCACGGGGCTGGGAGGAATCGGCGCAGAATCTGTGCCAGCAGCTGACTTGTGGTCATCTCAGTCAGAGTCAGCCACCTCTCACAGAGGGACAAGAGGAACTTGGTAGGGAAGAGGGAAGCTGGGGGCTGGGGACCAGGGACAGGGTGGGGAGTGGCAGCCAAGGACATCCCCTGAAGGCCTCTTAGGATTGAAGGTGAGGACAAAGGCCGCTATGGGTGCAGGCTGGACTAGGACCCTTTTTGAAGAGGAGACAGAGGTGGAATCTTGGAAGATGCTGGCAGAAGCACTCAGTCTTTCGTGCTCCCCAGCCCACAGGAACCCCACCCTCAACCTTTTTCCTCCACAACCTAGAGATGTCCTTCAACTCCCACCCCCACCCCAAGCCAGCTCCAGCTTCCGCTGGCTTTTCTCAGTTCCGTCTGGAGGCCAAGCAATCTTAATCAGCTTCTCTAACGACACTGTTTAGTACACAAACCTGCCCAGCCTCCCCCGCCCCTCACCCCGGGCAGGAAAGCTAACCCACTTTAGGGGCCTCGGCTCTCCTCCCTAGAGCCAGGGGAAGCCAGGGTTCCTGAGAACAGAGAAGGAACCACTACTGTCCCATCCTGTCACTCCCAACCTTCTTCCATAGCCCGCCAGGCCTACCTCATCCCCAGGCTGCCTGGTGTCTCCTCCCCCTTCTCACGCACTACACACGCCAGCCAGCCAGCCAGCCAGCCAGCCAGCCAGCCAGCCAGCCAGCCACACATCGGCTCTTCCCCGAGCTCACCAAGAGCACTGCTGGCCCAGAGCATCTGCACCTGCTGTTCCCTCTGCCTGGAATGTCCTTCCCTCACACCCACATGGCTCCCTCACTCACTCAGTATTCCCTCCTCAGAGAGGCCTTGGCTGACCACCTTGAACTGAGACAGCATCCCCAGTCACTAGGTCCCCTAGCCGGCTTCCTTCTTTAAAGAATACAGCACTGAGACTATATTATCCACCCACTTCACAATTACTGGTCACCCCACGAGAATGCCAGCTTCCTGGTGACAGAGACCTGGGTGATTCTGCTCACTGTTATCCTCAGTACCGAACACCAACCAGTACACAGCAGGCATTCCACCTCGGCGAATGAACGAACGAACGAGGAGGCAGTCCACCTCGGCGAATGAACGAACGAACGAACGAACGAATGCCGTGAGACGAGACCTCAGCCAGATGTTTCACACGGCTTAGAAGAATTACCCCTCACGATCCTTTCGTGCGGGCGGCGTCTTCATTTTCCAGATGCAGGGACTGACATTCACAAAGATTCTTTTCTTTGTCCAAAGACTAGTAAGTGGTAGAACTAGACTGAGTTGAAGTCTGACTGCATTATTTGCCACCTCCTGGGAGGACTGGGCCAGCGTGACCACCACTATCTACCCACCAGGCAACAGCACGACCGCAGGAGCGGCAAAGGCCACTGGCAAGGAACGGTGAAACCGAGGTTCCACAGCCTCCCAGACACCGATTCTAGCTGCCTAGACTCTTCTCACGGCCTGTATGCCTGCTTGGAGGCCAGGGAGGCCCGATGGGAGGGGAAACAGCATACTCGTTACGAGGACAAACTGGTGGGGTCCAACATTCTCAAGCTGGAACCGAGTGTGGTGTCTATAAACCACGGACCGTTAGCAGTCATTGCCTCTTTACGAACCTGCTTCCTTGGCAGTGAAACCAAGATCATATCAACTTAGCACAGGCTGCACTCGGGAACGATCACTTTGCGATCATCCCTATTATCATCATTTCAATTAGAATCACAACTCTGCCACTCATTAGCTGTGTGACCTTGGGCAAGCCACTTGCCCTCCCTGGGCATCAGTCTTTGCATCTGTAAAACAGGGACGGAGGACAATCTCCAGCATAGGAGGGGGGAGGTCACAGCGTGTACCTGAAGTGCTTGGTACTGAGTAGGTATATGGTATGTGGCCCCTTTCATTCCCAATCAAGGCAGTGCCCTTCAGCCGCTCCCACCATTCCCACTGAAGCTTCTCCTACAGGCCTTCCACGGAGGCGCGCCACCCTTCTCCACAGCTGGGACAAGGTCACCGAAGCTTCCCTTGGAGAATGGGCGTAAGTATCGTGGGGGGAAGGCAGCCTGCCTGACTACTGATGACGGAGGCCTGGGCGGCGCACCTTGTCCTGCAGGAATAGCAGCACATTCCGGGGGCCCAGCTCGAGGGCGGGGTCCAAGTAGGTAGACAGCTGCATGTCGCTGGTGATGTGACCCTCGTGAGCGTCGGCTGCCGGTGCCCACAGATCCCTGCCACGGAACAGAAGAGTGCCATCAAGCGGGACGCCTGGCTTAAAAGCCGAAGCCCGTGGACGCCCAGCTCCCGGCTCGTGCGTGGGGCAGGGAGCTCGACCAGCAGAGCAGCTCTGACCCCGGCGGACTCGCCGCCGCTCCCCGGCAAGGGGCAGTCCCTCTCTGGGCCTCGCCTCCCCCTGCCGAGGCTAGTCCCGGGGTCAGGCGAGTGCGGCCCGGCTGCAGAACCCGCCGCCCCTGGAGCCGCCCCGGCCAGGCCCGCTCACCGGTCACTCGACCACAGCACCAGCGGCACCTGCTGCTCCGCCGCCACCGCCGCCGCCGTCACTGACAGCAACAGTGGCAGCCACCGCATCCGCCAGAGCGCTGGGACCCGCCGCGACCCCGCCCGCACCCGGGCCGCCGCCGCCGCCATATCCTCGGCCTGTACTGCCTAGATGCAGCCGCCGCCGTGATCAGGTGACCTCCGCCCCGCCCAAGCACCTCCGCGAGCCGCCATTGGCCCGGATGCAGACATGCTCGCTAGACCCGAAGGTGATTGGACGAAGCCCACGCCATTCACGGCAGCTCCTCTTCAATGGTTGGCTGTAAGTGTCTCCAGGCGCGCACTCTCCCAGTGGGAAAGAGGGCGTGGCAGAACTCAGCCGCTTCTCGGAACCCGCCCGCCAGCGCAGGCTGCAACCAGGGACGGGCGACCCCGACCGTTTGGAGAGAGCGGGGGTGGGGTTGGAGGGGGCGGGGCAAAAAGGGCGGAGCGGTCTCCGCTCCACAGACTCCCGCACGCACGCGTTCTCCTTGTTGTTAGGTTCCTTGGAGTGCGTTCCGACTCGTAGTGACTCTTTGTACAACATAAGGAAATACTACCCAGTCCTGCGCCATCCTCACAATCGTTGCTGTTTGAGCCCATTGTTGCAGACACTGTGTCAATCCATCACGTTGAGGAGCTCCCTCTTTTTCCCTGACCCTCTACTTTACCAAGCATGATGTCCTTCTCCAGGGACTGGTCAAAGTACGTGGGACGAAGTCTCGCCATCCTTGCTTCTAAGGAACATTTGGTTGTACTTCCAAGACAGACCTGTTCGTTCTTCTGGTAGTCCATGGTATAGTCAACATTTTTCACCAATACCACAATTCAAAGGCATCACTTCTTCTTCAGTCTTCCTTATTCATTGTCCAGCTTTCAAATGCATATGAGGGGATTGAAAACACCATGGCTTGGGTCAGGGGCACCTTAATCCTCAAGGTGACGTCTTTGCTTTTCAACACTTTAGAGAAGTCTTTTGCAGCAGATTTGCCCAATGCAATATACGTCGTTTGATTTCTTGACTGCTGCTTCCGTGGGCGTTGATTGTGGATCCAAGTAAAATGGAATCCTTGACAACTTCAGTCTTTTCTCCGTTTATCATAATATTGCTTATTGGTCCAGTTGTGAGGCTTTTTGTTTTCTTTATGTTGAGGTGTAATCCATACTGAAGGCTGTGGTCTTTGATTTTCATCAGTAAGTGCTTCAAGTCCTCTTCACTATCTGCAAGCAAGGTTGTGTCATCTGCATATCTCAGATTGCTAATGTCTTCCTCCGATCCGATCCTGATGCCACATTTCCTGATGCCGCATTCTTCTTCAGATAGTCTAGTTTCTCGGATTATTTGCTCAGCCTACAGATCGAATAAGTACAGTGAAAGGATACAACCCTGACACACACCTTTCCTGATTTTAAGCCACGCAGTATTCCCTCGTTCTGTTGGAACAACTGCCTCATGGTCTAGGTACCGGTTCTGCATGACCACAATTAAGTGTTCTGGAATTCCTATTCTTTGCAATGTTATCCATAATTTGTTATGATCCACACAGTGGAATACCTTGGCATAGTCAATAAAACACAGATAAACATCTTCCTAGTATTATTCTCTGCTTTTTGCCAAGATCCATTTGACATCAGCAATGATATCCTTCCTTCCACGTCCTCTTCTGAATCTGGATTGAATTTCTGGAAGCTCCCTGTCGATGTACTGCTGCAACCATTTTTGATTTATATTTAGCAAAATTTTTCTTGTGTGTGATATTAATGATGTTATTTAACAATTTCCGTATTCTGCTGTATCACCTTTCTTTGGAATGGGCACAAATATGGATCTCTCCCAGTCGGTGGGCCAGGTAGCTGTCTTCCAAATTTCTTGGCATGGATGAGTGAGCTCTTACAACGTTGCATCCATTTGTTGAAACATCTCAATTGGTGTTCCATTAATTCCTGGAGCCTGCTTTTTGGCCAGTGCCTTCAGTGCAGCTTGGACTTCTTCCTTCAATACCATCCCTTCTTGATCATATGCTACCTGTTGAAATGGTTGAACGTTGACCAATTCTTTTTGGTATAGTAACTCTGTGCATTCCTTCCATCTTCCTTTGATGCTTCCTGCCTCGTTTAATAGTTTCCCAGTAGAATCCTTCAGTATTGCAACTTGAGGCTTGAATTTTTTCTTCAGTTCTCTCAGCTTGAGAAATGCCAGGCATGTTCTTCCCTTTTGGTTCTCTATCTCCAGTTCTTTGCACATGTCATTATAACACTTTACTTTGTCTTCTCGAGCCACCCTTTGAAATCTTCTGTTCAGCTCTTTTACTTCATCATTTCTCCCTTTTGCTTTAGCTGCTGGACTTTCAAGAGCAAGTTTCCAAGTCTCTTCTGACATCCATTTTGGTCTTTTCTTTCTTTCCTGTCTTTTTAATGACCTCTTGCTTTCTTCATGTATAATGTCCTTGATGTCATCCCATAACTTATCTGGTCCTTGGTCATTAGTGTTCAATGTGTCAAATCTATTTTTGAGATGGTTTCTGTCTTCATTATCTAGTGCTGCTATAACATAAATACCACAAGTGGATGGCTTTAAGAAAGAGAAATTTATTCTCTCACAGTCTAGTAGGCTACAAGTCTGAATTCAGGGTGTCAGCTCCAGGGGAAGGCTTTCTCTCTCTGTCAGCTCTGGAGAAAGGTCCTTGTCATCAATCTTCCCCCAGTCAAGGAGTTTCTCAGCTCAGGAACCTCAGGTCCAAAGGACAGGCTCTGGTCTCAGCTTTGCTTTCTTGGTGGTATGAGGTCCCTCTGTCTCTCTGCTTGCTTCTCTCTTTTATATCTCAAGAGAGATTGACTTAAGACACAACCTAATCTTGTAGATGGAGTCCTGCCTCATTAACATAATTGCCTCTAATCCTGCCTCATTAACATCATAAAGGTAAGATTTACAACTCATAGAAAAATCACATCAAATGACAAAATGGTGGACAGTCACATAATGCTGAGAATCATGGCCGAGCCAAGTTGACGCACATTTTTTGGGGACACAATTCAGTCCATAACATTCCACCCTTTGGCCCCCAAAAATTCATGTCCTTGCAACATAGAAAACACATTCCCTTATCATATCATAGCAAAAGTCTTAAATTAACTCCAAGTCCAAAATTCAAAAACTCCTCTTCATCTGTGAAATCTAGAATACAAGTTATCTGCCTCCAAAGTACAATGGTGGAACAGGCACAAGCTAGACATTTCCATTACAAATGGGAGAAACTGGGGGGAAAGAAGGGATAACAGGCGCCAAGTAAGTCAGCAGAACACGTTACATTAGCCCTCAAGGCTTGAAAATAATCCTCTGTTCTCTGAGACCATTTAGACACTGACAGCAGGCCACTGGCTCACGTCCCAAGAATTGGATGTCAGACAATGATGAGCCAGATGCAGGATTCACATACAGAGTGAGAGAACCCCACCAGAGTACCCACTGCGGTGTGATGGGTCGCTTTTGTGTGTCCTTTCTCACCATGGTCTTGTAACTCCCACCCAAGTGATTGGGTGGGACTGTGCATGTAGGGTAATTGTGGCCCACCAAGGGGATTGGTCAGCTTTGTCATCCCGCTGGGCTTGATATGAACCACCCCAGAGGCAGGAAAGAGAGGATCCCACCACCACCAAGGAAGGACAGCCAGGAGCAGAGAGTGCATCCTTTGGACTCAGGATCCCTGTATTGAGAAACTCCTGGACCCAGGAGACAGCAAGCTGAAACCCTAAAGATGGCAAGAAGCGGTGGCAGGAGAGACTGGCAGGAGACCGTGCAGTGGGCTTCCTGGCCCACGGAGTGAGAAAGCTGACTGCCTTTGGGCCAAGGCTTACTGGCAGTGTGGGGTGCTTCTGGGCACTTACTGTTGTGTTGTTAGGTGCCGTTGAGTCACTTCTGACTCTTAGCGACCCTGTGTACAACAGAACGAAACGCTGCCCGGTCCTGCACCATCCTCGTGGTCATTGTTATCCTTGAGCCCATTGCTGCAGCCACTGTGTCAGTCCATCTCTATGAGGGTCTTCCTCTTTTTCACTGACCCTCTACTTTACCAAGCATGATGTCCTTCTCCAGGGACTGGTCGCTCCTGATAATATGTCCAAAGTATGTGAGACTAAGTCTCGCCATCCTCACTTCTAAGGAACACTCTGCCTGTACTTCTTCCAAGATAGATTTGTTTGTTCTTTTGGCAGTCCATGGAATATTCAGTATTCTTCACCAACACCACAATTCAAAGGCATGAATTCTTCTTCGGTCTTCCTTATACACTGTCCAGCTTTTGCATGCATATGAGGCAATTGAAAACACCATGGCTTGGGTCAGGCACACCTTAGTCTACAAGGTGACATCTTTGCTTTTCAAAACTTTAAAGAGGTCTTTTGCAGCAGAGTTGGCCGATGCAATCAGTCTTTTGATTTATTCACTGCTGCTTCCATGGGTGTTGATTGTGGATCCAAGTAAAATGAAATCTTTGACAACTTCGATCTTTTCTCCATGTCTTAGTCATCTAGTGCTTCTATAACAGAAATACCACACGCAGATGGCTTTCACAAAGAGAAGTTTATTTCCTCACAGGAAAGTAGGCTAAAAGTCCAAATTCAGGGTGTCAGCTCCAGGGGAAGGCTTTCTCTCCCTGTCCGCCTTCTCATCAATCTTCCCCCCGACTAGGAGCTTCTCTGCGCAGGGACCCTGGATCCAAAGGACGTGCTCCGCTCCCAGCGCTGCTTTCTTGGTGGTATGAGATCCCCCTCTCTCTGCTTGCTTCCCTTTCCTTTTTATCTCTACAGAGATAAAAGGTGGTGCAGGCCACACCCCAGGGAAATTCCCTTTACATTGGATCCGCGATGTGACCTTAGTAAGGATGTTATACAATCCACCGTAATCCTCTTTAACATAAAATTACAGTCACAAAATGGAGGACAACCACACAGTACTGGAAATCATGGCCCAGTCAAATTGATACACACATTTTGGGGGGGGGAAATAATTCAATCCATGACACTCTGTTTATCGTGATGTTGCTTATTGGTCCAGTTGTGAGGATTTCATAAAGTTTTCACTGGCTAATTTTTTTCAGAAGTACACCGCCAGGTCTTTCT